TAGTTTTCATTCGTCATAACTGTTATTCGGAAATTGGGATACATCCGAATCTCCGAATATCGAAAATTCCTCAGAAAAACAAATTTTTCCGGAATGAATCGCACATGTCTACAACTTAGACTATTTAACTGTTTTACTGTTTTAATTTGTTCTATTGAGTTACTTCAAGACTTGCAGACCATTTTAGTTTGGTCTGATGTCCAATAGTATTTGGAAAGGGGTAGTCGAACAAAGTTGACAGGGTTGAGAGGGTAATTTATCATTTAATGTGTCATTTGTTGTTTATAGTTACTCCTATTTACTCATACACCTTATGTTATCTACTCTGACTTCCTAAACTACCAAATCTATATACATCGATATCTGGTTGTATATCTAAGATCTTGAACTCTATATTTATGACACTATAACGTTTTGCAAAACATAGAGAACAAAAAATGAAAAACAAATGTAAAGAAATTGTATTTTAATTGCTTGGTAAAGTTGTGAATCTGTTTAAATTTAATAAAATGTTTTGGAAAAAAAAATATTATGTATCTTACTAAGAGATTGGTCAGAAATTGAATTTTTGACATGGTTGGGCAGCTAAATTTTTTTTAATATCATAGTTACATAGTATTTGAGGTTGAATAAAGACATAAGTCCATCAAGTCCAACCTATTGTGTATGCATTTATGTTTGAGCAGGTGTGTGCGTGTGTATTAGTCCATGCGTGATTTTGCTCGTTGCCGTACCTGTACCCCTGTATGTTTTGGTCTCCAAGGAACTCGTCCAGGAGTTTCTTGAATGATTCCACACTCTTAGCTGAGATTACTTCCTGCGGCAGCGAGTTCCAGACCCTAACAGCTCTAACTGTGAAAAACCCCTTGCGCCATGTGTGTTGAAATTTTTTTTCCACCAATTTTTGGTTGTGCCCTCTGGTCTTTGTTACTGAGCTAACCGTAAACAGTTTGTTAATAATGTTGCTGTCACCCTTAAATAGTTTATACCTGAAAATTATGTCCCCCCTTAATCTCCTAACCTCCAAAGAGAACATAATTAATTTTAACAACCTTGTTTCATAGTTCAGGTCTTTGAACCCCTTAAGTTTGGTTGCCCTCCTCTGGACCTTTTCCACCTCAAGGACATTCTTCCTGAGTATTGGTGACCAAAACTGGACCACATACTCCAGATGTGGCTGAAACAGTGATCTATTAAGTGGCAAAATTATAGACTTGTCCCTGCAATACATTCCCTTCTTAATGCAAGACAGGACTCTGCTTGCTTTGTTTACAGCATCCTGGCACTGCACGCTGTTCTTCAATCTGCGGACTATAATGATCCCCAAATCCTTCTCTGTTTCCGACTTCCCTAGTGGCACACCCATAAGTGTATAGTCCATTTGCCTATTTTTAACTCACAGGTGCATTACCTTACATTTATCGACATTGAACTTCACCTGCCATACAGTTGCCCACTCCCCGATTTTCTCAAGGTCCTCCTGTAATGTTACAATGTCTGAATCCGTGTATATTACCCTCCCAAGTTTCGTATCATCAGCAAACACTGAGACATGGCTACTCACTCCCTCCCCGATATCATTAATAAATAGGTTAAAAAGCATTGGACCCAGCACAGAACCCTGGGGCATGCCACTCCTGACCTCCACCCATTCTGAAAAGGTGCCATTAACTGATATTCTTTGTGCACATTCTTGTAGCCAGTTTTCTATCCACGTGCACACTAATTCATCTATGCCCATAGCCCTTAGCTTGTATAACAAGCGTTTATGTGGCACCGCATCAAATGCTTTGGAAAAGTCCAGATATACTACGTCCACCGGCCTCCCCCCATCCAGATCTCTACTTACCTCTTCGTAAAAGGTCAGCAGGTTGGTCTGGCAAGAACGATCCTTCCTAAATCCATGCTGCATGTCAGTTGTTATGCCATGATCCCTGACGAATTCCACTAAATAATCCTTAATAATTCCCTCTAATAGTTTACATACTATGCATGTTAGACTAACTGGTCTATAGTTCCCCGGTTGGCATTTTTACCCTTTTTTGAATATAGGAACCACATTAGCCCTTCGCCAGTCACTTGGCACTGTATTTGAAGAATTCTTGTTTTTAATAAAGAATTGTGCTAGGTTTAATTGTAAATGAGTGATACAAACAGATTCCTTGGCTCTAGCACAACTGATCTTTGGCATTTAGCTTCTTGTGACCAGTCCAGGGAAATGTGTATGCATTTTCATTACAAAAATCAGATGATTTTTGTAATAAACAGAAAGCAAAGAGGGATAAAAAAAAGATGCTAAATTACCACAAGTAGCCAAGAGTAACCTTTGTGCTCAGAGGCTGTCCCAGTGCCTAAACCCCTTACTAATTCCTGAGATTACCTTTGCTGCATTTCCTATTTATGCTAAGATGGAGTGGGGACGCTTTTAGGAACAAAACTTCCAGACTGAGGAGATAAAAGCTGGCAAAAGAGTTGAGCAATGAGAAAGTAAACATTGTGGTTGGGGTAAGTGAACATTAGACAGTGGCTGCTAACCATTAGGCTGCTATATGCTCACTTCCATTGTTTAAATATTTTCTCCATGTAAGTGGACAGGCAACCCAACCAGAGGATAGCCTCACCTCTTCTGTCTTTACTGGAAGATTTTACCATAAATAAAAAGATTATAAATGCATAAGCACAACTTACATTTTATAGGATAAATGTACTTACAACTGACCCAGGCCTGAGGCCCTGTTTACACCATATGCAGTGCGTTCCGGCCCGAACGCACTGCATCGCATTGCAGCCGGCTCACTTTTTTGCCAGGCAGGAGGGAGCGTGGCGGGCCATTGAAGTGAATGGCGCCGTAGCCACGCCCTCCGGCCGCAATGTGATCACCCGCACGGGATTGCAGAGCACATTGTGCCTGCGGTCCGGTGCGGTCAAAATGCTGCAAGCACTATTTTGACCGCACCGGACCGCAGGCACAATGTGCCCTGCGTTCCCGTGCTGGCGATTGCATTGCGGCCTCACAGCCCCATTCACTTCAATGGCCCGCCACACGAAATACTGAGCAGGCCGCAATTCGATGCAGTGCGTTCCGGCCAGAACGTTCCTGCCCAAACTCAATGTTACCTATTTGAGCTTTTACTTAACTCAAGTCAACAGGTAACCTCATGCATGACTTGTACTCAAGTTGTCACTGGAGTTATGGAAACTAGGCCACAAATACACAAAACAGAGTGGCCCTGTTGGCTCAGAAGAGAACCAGAACACAGCCTGTCATTGATCCTACACAGCTCCTACACCAGGTGGCCCACTGATCTGCGCGTGTAAAAGGGCAATGGAGGGTATAAGTAGCATGGAGTACGGGTTGAATGGCTTTTTAGGCTTAGGTAGCAAATATGTATTGTTATCCTTTATATCATTATATCATCACATTATTATTATTATTATTACTACATTGGAGACCTAAATTGGTTCACAGATAATGACTATTGTTGTTAAACAATGGTATCATAGAAGTACCCTTTGGGATAATTAGCCTTATTTATACCACAGAATAATAAGGTGACCTTAATACAAGGGAAGAAATAATGCCTCAGGTAAGCGATACAATGTCACTGGAAGATAGTAATATGAAATAGAGATTGTATTCATTTTGATGATGGATAATACATGATAAATAAATTGTGATGTAAAGCTGGTAAAAAAATTAATACTCTGTTCCGGTATATACATGTGACACTAAATTGTAAAAATACATTCAAGTACCTTATCAATTAACAAACATGTTAATTGATAAGGTTTGATCCAGACCTGAATGGAGTGTAAACATTGTACACACACATTGTAGACTCCAGATAAAGTAAAAGAAAATGTAACTGTTGGAACTTCTTCCACAGCCTCATAGAGAAACACAAGCACACAGTCTGATATGCATGCTGCACATGACTTGAAAACAAGAAGGAAGCCGCAGCTTTATTCTCTACCCTTTTCAATACCATAGATTTATTTTTGTATTTATTACAGGTATTTATATAGCGCCAACAATTTACACAGCGCTTTACATAGGTGCACATCAGTGCCTACCCTCAAGGAGTTTACAAGCTAAGGTCTGCATACATAGCTAAGGTATGCATACATAGAGGGTCAACTTAGAGATGAGCCAATTAACCTACCCGCATGTCTTTGGAGTGTGGATGAAACCTGAGTACCCAGAGGAAACCCACGCAAGCACAGGGAGAACATGCAAACTCCTTGCAGATTCAATCCAGGAACCCCAAGTGCTGCAAGGCAGAAGTGCTAACCACTACACCACTCTGCTGCCCTAGATATAACAGAATGTATACACAAACTGCCAACTACTGACCGAAAATATATACTGCAGGAGTTGTTGTAATACAATAATGTGTATTCTAACAGTAACCAGGGACAGCTCAGGCAATATGCAATACAACACACACTGCTGGAGCTGTCACAATGCACTAGCCCATCTATTGAAACACAGCATTTTAGCAGACAGACTAGTGAATGGGCCCTTAATGTTCTTCAATTAGCTTTTTGGGTAATTTTTTTTTTTTCAAAAGCAAAACCATTTATTTAGAAGATATTTTCTGGTTGTATTTTGGGTAGAGTGTGATATCTGTAACAAGAATATTCATAAAAAAAAAAAAAAAAAAACATTAAAACTGTAAAAAATAAATTTTTAAAAAAACGGATTTAAAAAAAAACATTCAAACTGTCAAAAATACAATTTTAGAAAAACGGATTTAACTTTCTTTTTTTCTCCATTTTTAATTTTTACTAGTATGAACGTCTCTTTTCCAGATGCCACATTGAAACCTGAGTTCTACATTATGGCCTTTCCCAAATAAATTGTTTTATTGTAAATATAATTCATATTGTTACAAACATTTTAAAAATAGTTTTTTCATTATTTGTTAAAAAAATTTCTTTTTTTGTAAAAAAGTGTTTACTTTGTTCCTAGCATGAATTCCTGTGTTCCAGATACTACGATGAAACCTGAGTTCTACATCGTGGCCTTTCCCAACTATGAATATTTATGGTACATCCTGTTTATTGGAGTGTTGCTGTTGTTTTTAATGGCAATAGTTGGAAACTTGCTAATCACTGTTCTGATATGGCTCGTCCCTCATCTCCACACTCCCATGTACTTTTTCCTTTGTAATCTATCAGTTCAGGATATTGTTCATGTGTCTGCCATATTACCAAAGCTAATGTCCATTATATTGACAGGAAGCCATTATATTTCTTTTGCAGGTTGCTTAACACAAATATTTATGTTTGTCTTTTGCTTAAATACAAACTTCTTGCTTCTCACATCCATGGCTTATGATCGTTATGTGGCCATATGCATTCCTCTTCAATATTTTGTTATTATGAAATTTAAAAAATGCTCCTTGTTGGCTTCAGCTTGTTGGGTTGTTAGTGGTCTGAATGCAACTATGCACTCTTGTTTGATGTCACAGTTACCATTCTGCCTTATTACATCCATCAACCATTTCTTTTGTGATGTAAGGGCTATGCTTAAGTTGTCCTCAGGTGATACAACACATATAAAAGCATTAATATTTGCTGAAGGTGTGCTTTTCTGTTTTATCCCCTTTGTACTCATATTAATTTCCTACATACATATCATATCTACCATCCGTAAGATCCGCTCAACAGCGGGAAGATTGAAGACCTTCTCCAGCTGTTCCTCGCATATTATTACTGTAATCCTTTTCTGTGGAGCATCTCTTGGCCAATACATGAAACCAGAGTCTGAGAAGTCTGAGGAACAGGACAAGTTGTTGTCTTTGCTCTATATTGCTGTAGTCCCCATGCTAAACCCTTTAGTTTACAGTTTGAGAAACAAAGATGTCTTACAAGCCATTCAAAAATTGTTTATCTACCCTAAATTATTTTAATACTGCAGAAGTTATGTAAAAAGCCCCTGTATTTGTCAACATGGAAGGAAATTTGAAGTCACAAGGGGTTGATGTACAAATGAGAAACAGGCTGCAAGGGAATTTTCCCTTAGCTTAGTAATTGTGGTGAACATTTACTTTGCAAAGAATACCAAGTCACAAACAAGAATAAAAAAAAAACCACAGTATTTTTGCTTGCACATGATGGAAGTCAGCAGAACTTCTACTCATTCATTAAACTTAGGGACGTTCCCTTGCAAAGTGCAAATTCCCTTGCAAAGTGAACAGCCTATTTGCCTTTAGTAAATCAACCTCACGGTGTCTATTTCCTCTAACTGGGCTTTCTAGAGGTTTGGTAATTATCACATTATTTCAAGCATGTTAAGCATCATGTCTAACTGAATAAATTTTTTTTAAAATGACACTAAACCCAGGAGGTAAATCTTAAAAATATTTTTTTGGGGCGGGGGTTGTTATTGTTGTTGTTTGTTTGGTTCTAACGTTTTTAAGGGGGAGGGGGAAGGAGCGTTATAATGATGAGGATTTTGCCTGTATTTGTGTTTGTAGAGTGAACTGTATAGAACTGTTTAACTATGTATAACATTAATTTGATTATGCGATGTAAGCTGATTTTGAAGATAGGAAATAAACAATTATTCTTTCAAAAAAATCTTAAAAATGCATCCAAGAACCCTAACTATTAACAAAATGTTTTATCTTATTTGTGTATCACTCGGCTGTAGATCCTCAAATCCTCTCTGAATTGGTGGTGACACTGTCCTTCCTTCTAGAGGGGGGCTACTTTTGTTCCCCATGGTCACCGCTGCGAACCCAAAGCCTTCACCTTGCAGACAAGGCAAACTAATGTAGATGTTTACCACCAACTTATGGGCAAGTTTGCCCAGGCAGCGCCACAAGCGCCTGCAGGGAAGTGGAGTATTTAGCAGCAGTATTATTACTGCAGGTAAATGTGACTGCTTCTCCTCATGCTAATTGTTAGGAAGCCAGCAGAGACAGTTTCGGTAGTGTGCGTTGTACAGCACACTGCCGGAGCTGTCACAACGCATTAGCCAGTCCGCTGAATTGCAGTGTCCTTATACTTTTTTTTGTGAATAAGTAGGGGTACATAATACCCCTATGTCATTCCTATAGGCATCTGTGTGGAGCCTTGCATGATGAGGACATGAGTGCCAGATGAGCCGCGCGATCCCTGGAGCAGCTAAATGGGAGTTTCACTCGAGGTCCCGGCTCCCTCTGAAGAGCAGCCGCCTTGACAGGAGAGGAGTCGGGTGCAGAATGTACAGCCAGGGATCCCATACAGTTTCCTGACCTCCCTCCATGTAATTATGGTAATTATGGTGTCCCGCAGGAGGATGTTCATTTTGAGGAGGGCGGGAAGAGCTTTCCACGGAGTGTGGAGAACCCCTGAGAGAGACCAAGGATGTACCATAGCCTGACCCAGGCGTGGGTCTGTGAAGTGTGAAGTCCCATGCACCCAATCCCTGGCATGTCTAAAGATGTTCGCTAGATTATAAAGTCTAACATCAGGTATATTTGCCCCTAGTAAGGATTTGGGCTGTTTGAGTTTGTGCATGGCTATGCGGGAGCGCTTTCCTCTCCATATGAAAGTAGCAAACGCTTTGTACAACATCTGAATGTCTTTGTGTTTAATAAGCAGAGGAAGCGTCTGCATAGGGTATAACAGCCTTGCAAAGCTGATCATGCAGATCAAATGGCATCTGCCCAATATAGAGAGAGGAAGGTCACGCCATTTATGCAATTCTTGTATGATCTTCTGAAACAAGGGGATATAATTTAAGTGATATAGATCGGTGGCTCTGTTGGATATATGAATACCTAAATAAGTTATAGATCGCCTCTGAACGTGAATGGAGAGTTCAGGAGGCCAGTGGGATGTGTCGATGGATTCACTAGGGGACAAGAGCAAAAGTTCACTTTTGTGACAATTAATTTTTAGTCCCGAGAACGACCCATAATTTCTTATGAGTCTGAGCACATCAGGTACCTGTGTGGATGGGTCAGACAACACCAGAATGATGTCATCTGCAAATAGGGCCAGTTTAACCTCGTGGGGCCCCATTCGACTCCCCTGGAATGTCGGGGAAGAAGAAAGGGATCTGGATAGCGGTTCCAGAGCTAGATTAAAGAGCAGAGGGGACAGGGGGCATCCCTACCTCGTCCCCTTGTGCAGTGGGAACGGGCGTGACATAGCTAAAGGTGTAAGTATGCATGCTTGAGGGGACGTGTAGACAGTAGTAATAAAACTCAAAAATGAACCTGAGAATCCCATACATTGCATAACCATGGACAGACACTGCCAATTAACATTGTCAAAAGCTTTCTCCGCATCCAATGATAAAAGAGCCGTAGGATGCGAAGAAGGCAGGTTCAGCCGGTGGTCTTCTAGAGCCATGAGAATCTTGCGAATATTTGATACAGCTGACCGACCTGCAACAAAACCCACCTGATCAGGAGATATCAGTTTCGGCAGCACGGCCGCCAGTGTATTGGCTAACATTTTACACAACAAAAAATAACTCTGGTTACACCGCTGATGAGCAGCATTATCAACAGTGTAGTCACTCCACCATTGTTGAAGCTCCGCCTGGAACGCTTCATCTTTTGCCAAATAATTGGGGAACCTCCAAATGAGGGGGTGACTAGGCACACCAATATTATGTAGAGTTAGCAGCACCGGTGCCTGATCTGAGATCACCATATCATCCTATAGTCACAGAGTCCAGTTTGGACAACAGGGAAAATGAGGCAAAGAAAAGGTCTATATGTGACAGCGAGCCGTGGGAAAAGTGGGTGAAGTCTCTTTCCAGAGGGTGGAGGTGTCTCCAAGTATCTGTAAGACCTGTCGATTCAATCCAAGTGGCCAGGCGTGTATCCTGGGGATTGCGATATGAGGTACCGGGTGGGGCTTCCCACGATCTGTCCTCGGGCATGGATGGTGTAGCGTTAAAATCTCCACCAATAAGGAGAAATGGGGAGGGCGGGAGTGATGAAATTTGCGACAGAAGGTGATCCAGAAAGGACTTGTTGTCCACATTAGGGCCATACACATTCCAGAGGTGCAATGAATGGGGTTCCACTTGCAGGGAAAGCAGAGACCATCTACCGTTGTCCTGGTCAAAACTATGGGAGGTGATGGAATGCGCCAGTGACTTGTTGATAAGGGTAATTACCCCAGCAGATTTCCCCCGCGGCTGGAGCACCAATGGCCGTGCCAACCCAGGATTGTCGCATGCGTGAAATATCCGGCTCTTTAAGGTGGGTTTCCTGAAGATGTCCACCTTCATCTTTTATAGATGACGTAGAATCTCAGCCCCTTAACATTCCAGGAAATAATGTTCAGGGTGGGTCCCATAACAACCACATTGGGGTGTAGAGGATATCTAGAGACAATTGTTGACAACAAGGGGGGGGGCTCTCGTGGGTGTCCCAGCACTCCCAAAGAGGCCCTGTAGCACAAGTGGAGGTGTCTTTTGAGGTATATAAGGAATAATGGGTGATACATCGGGCAGGGGGGCAGGATCCCCACTCCAAGGGGGCAGTAGACGAAGATTAGGAGACGTACTCCATGAGTGTGATGGTGGAAAAGAACAAAAAACAAGAACACAAAAAAAGAAACATCCATGGTATGTGACTACCTTTTTACCTGATGCGAGCGGATTGAGACTGACCACACGTGAGAGCAAGGCCGTTCTTCACGTGGTTGCGTCAGCATAGTAGTATTCAATGAACCTGTAGATCGCGCCATCCCGCCATCCAGAAAGGGCAAAAACTGTCATTCCTGGAGAAACTTGAATAACAACGGAAGAGTAGAGAAAAAAAAAACTAAGTAACGAAGTAGAAGTAAAGTACCTGCAGAAGAACAGCATCTAGGCCCGGAACTTCCGCGCCGCAGCAGCACCAATCCCCTCCATGAGTATGCCAAAACCTGACCCCCTCTAGGGCTCTCAGGCCTTCTTCTTTCGGGGAGGGCTTTTGGATGGGGATGAAGAAGAGGTGTTCGAGGAACCTTTGGGCTTACATTGCAGAGGTGAAGCGCCATGCTTTCCCATCCTTCGTGTAGAAGCGGAGCACTGCCGGAGATTGCAGTGCGAATTTTATGCGGTGCCTAACCAGTGATTGACATACCTCATGGAATGATCTCCTCAGGTTAGATGTTTCCATAGAGTAATCCGCGAAAAGAAGTAGCTTTAAGCCATCCACCACAAGGCTGCGCTGAGTGCGGTAGGTTTGAAAAATATTTTGTTTGTCGTAGTAATCAAGGTAGCGTACTAGCACTGGTCTCAGTTTGGCGTCATCTCTAGGGGATCCCAACCTGTGTGCCCTCTCAACCTTGCATGCAGCGCATAGGCCCAAGGCTTTGGGTATAGCGGCGGCGCAAAACAGATCAACGGGTTTCACAGATTCTGGGATGCCAATGACCCGCAGATTATTGCGTCTGGAGCGATTTTCTAAATCGTCCACCTTATCTTGCAAGGTGTGTATGCATTTGGCCATGTCACCGTATGCACGATGTGAATCTGCAGCGTCATCCTCCACATTACTAATGCGTTGTTCCATGGCATTGATGGCCGCATTTAACTTGCCCAAGTGCAGCTGTAGAGTGTCCGCAATGATTTTAGCAATATCAGCGTTAAGGTGTTTGGTCACCTCTGAAGCGATCAACTTATAGTCAATGCTAGGGGTATCAGGCACCGGAGAGTCTGACTCACCCTCTCCCATGCCTGTGTCCTCCTCATGCTGCAGTTCGTCAGCGGCCATCTTGGATCCTTCCCCTCCGTCTGACTGACTCCCTGAGAGGGCTCTACGGGCTCTCGGTTGGCGCTCCAGATACCTGTCCATGGCAGGGGAGCGGTTGGCAAACTGCTGGTGACTGGTGAACGGCAGCCGAAGTTCCGGTAAGATTTCGTTGGCGGATGGCGGGACAGAGCTCGGAGCCGCTCGTCTAGTGCATTAGGCGC